TTGTATACATTAGTTAAATTGATTAGACATTTGAATAAAAACCAATATTGGATAAAGTACATTCAGAATTAATACTATTAGTGTTATTGATCAAATACAATCAGATGGGGAAATACGATGTTGTTATAGTCAAAATACTCATATGCTACATATCACCAAACTCAAAAATCCTGCCCTTGGTCTAATCTAAAGATGGTGATTGACGATTATTTTTCTAGCTAGCCTGAGTAGGAAATTATGGGAACTTTCAATCACCATGGAACCAAACTATCAATGACATATTAAGCCCACTCAGATCTTTTACTCTTCATACGCACGACGTAAGTTCCTTTCAAAAATTAATAGCACTTGCTGAAAGTTAGTGATCACTATTTAGTTACTCATGATCTGATTGACAAACCCATAGCCACACATCAAATAGATTGTTCGCATGTATCTATGACATTATAGTCCAACTTAGTTTTTAGTGTCTACGCAGGTTTCATTGCTTTAGTTTACACAAAGCCGAAATTTAATAAGCCAAGTTTCAAAATCCCACCTATAAATAGTTCAGGAAACCTACCGGTATTATAAGACTTTTTGCCTAAGTGCGAAAATAAGATTGATATCCTGCACTTAAAGGACGTAAACTGGCAAACTTTCCAAGATTATCGATAGATACTACTAAGTCCCGGAATATCATAATAGTTAGATAGCAACTGAAATGATCAGGAATACATGCTCAATGTGAATCGCAAACCTAATAAGCATTAATGGAGCAAAAGTTAACCTGGTTGAAAGGATACATCCGCTGTTGCTCAGTTAATGTCCGTAACATTCCAGACAGTTAGGTGAGAAAGAGAACAGCAACTAGCACGAAATATTTCTGCAGCGATGGAACTACTGGTGTAATGAACACAGATATACACATAAAGATTGGTTTCCTCTTGAAATTTGCGTGCATATATTATTATTACTTTACAGCTGTCACACCATGACAAATAGTAAAATACTTCATTGAGCAACGAGAATTATCAAATGAATAAGACAAAAATCATGGGAGAAGTGAGCTTCACAACCAGTGTAGGAATGTTTGTTTTCAGGACGGGTTTACCACTATTGCAAATTTACTGTCAACACTAAATACATTTATTTCAACAGACGTTCACATTTGACGTCTAAATTCACTAATACTGGTGCGAAACAAGGAAAATGAAAAAGGAGCATAAAAAAACATTTGGTACATCTTTCTAAAAGAAAAATCATACGCACAACTACCATGTAACTATAATCCGGGTAGATTTTCCATTGCCCACACCTAATATAAAAGACAAATGGCAGAGGCAATCTGTGCGCGTCATTTGTTGAGACTGGTAAAAAATCGACAACCGAGAATGCACATGAGACTAGGAATATATTATAATATGAAGTGAACTAGAGATCAATGCTCGTAGAAAGTGTTTTATTATAAAGAAAGTACAGTGGATATGGAAAATAAATTTCGCATGATGAAAAAAGGCAAACCAACACAGTACGAGGACTAACGGATGGTCATAAAAGCCTTGCCTTCACGACTCACAAACGGAGCTAAGGTTTCCAGACCATGACATTCTACAGGGCTATGAAGTCGAATGGAACGAAGATGAGTATCGCGTCCATTTTGATGATTAGCCAGTATAGCGATTTGTAATAAAAATGTGCGTAGAGAAGATCCATCAGGCCAGGTTAACGGGATTACTGACCATCCAGTTGGTTCTTGAAGTTCAACCTCGAGAAGTTCCAAAAGATCATGAATAGTATTCCCAACTCGGATGGCCAGTCTACAAAACAAAAAATGCAAAAATATATCTTATTGAAATACTTTGCTGGAAAACAAGAATGGGATTTCATGAGATGAAATATGAATTTTTATTACATACCATGATATTGGGTGAAGACAGACGCTTTAAAACAAGTTGTCTATATACCACTTAAGCTAATTAGGTTTATCGAACCGTCAAGAAGATTCCATTCGAAATAAAACATTGAGATTACCGCGTCAATAATGTTATGCGGTATGCTAATAGACAAAAGCTCAAGAATTCTGATGTTAGATGACCATTCGTTCAAATAGTTATAATTATAATACTGATAATAATATTATAACTTCATATAAGTACGGTAAAAAAAGAATCAATTCACATTTCTAAACTCACCTACTAGGGGTATAGCTTTCATCCACTTTGTAATCCGTATACAAACATAATTTAGACAGCACCATTTTTCGCGGGAATTGAATATTTACACAGTGTGGTTGAGGACCATCTGATTGCCAAAATGTGTCTGTAGATTCACTTAACAACTGATCAATGCCGTGACCTGGTTTACACGATGAAAGACTCCAAACAGCATGTTCACATACATCACGGACCTTATGAAGTTTTTTTGGATTTACCGAAAGTAGGAATAATTAAAGTGAAGCACTTATTAACATAACTGATTTTAACAATGAAATCAAGTTTTTAAGATACATGAATTGAAACAGACAAAATCAAAAAAATATATCTACAAGCTAAATGTTCTGCTGCAGTGCAAAACAAATCACAACAGGACAATCGAACAAAAAACATGTTCTCAGAAAATTAAACTTTCCCCGTAGTTATAATGCATCTGATTTTGTTAATCACCATAATATTATACTTCATCTCTACAGATAATAAAAACATACCTCTATACTTGCTTTTACTAGTTAGGTTGAATCAATCAACTTAATCATTCACTAACATGCAACTCCTGGTGTCAAAAGGTGAACAGTATAGACACTATGGAGCGGTCAGTTGAACAGACAGGAAACATTTGACCGGTTAAAAGTACGGTGAATGGCATTTTTATCCAGAAAAGCGACTTGGAGGTGTAACACACTGGAAGGCGTATAATCTACCAGTCAAGCAACCAATAAACTACAAAGTACTAAATAGATTCCTCAATTAGCCCGTGAAACTTATGAATCCCAGAAGCATTCGGAAGTTTGCAGTAATGAACTTGGTTGCTACAACGGCTTTCCATATCTAGATATGAGTCACATTTAATACCAGTCCATGAGATGTTGCTGGCTTTAAACGCTGAGTGGATAAATCTATGACACAGGAAATTTGTGATAATGTTTACTTTTCGGCGAATTCATTTTCATAGCTGTACAATCGCAAATATATATGGTTGTTTTGTATGTGTGTGTACATTAAATTTGTTAGACGAAAATACAATTAGTAAGTTCAGGTGAATTGGATGTTGATATAAGAGAGTAGTAACAAAAGTGATGAGTTGTCACAAACGATTGTTAAAGAAGAGTTACGTAATAAAATGAATAGTTTAATGCAAGAGTTGTACTCAGGGTGTACATGGAAACAAAATATACGGAATTACACAAGGGTTTTGAGTAGAAAAATAAGCATACAAACAAAAGTTAAGTCAAATCAAACAAACAAACAAAGAAAAGTCAAGTCAAATCGACACAGTTGTTACTATGGGAGTAGAAGTGGTTGAATAATTTTCTTTTGTATGCACAGTTCTGGTTCCTCTAGCTTAATGGCTAGGGTCTCTGCGATGCAAAGAAGACGGAATCGTACTGTCTTTGGAAGGTTGTTCTTCACTTTGTAGATTACTTTGAAGGAGGCGTTTGTTGAGATGGAATGACCAGTGTTGACGAGGTGTTCTATTATTGCACTCCTTATGCAGCCATTACTTCCTTTCTGTAGAAATTTAATGTACACACACATACAAAACAACCATGTATATTTGCGATTGTACAGCTATGAAAATGAATTCGCCGAAAAGAGACTCTTCGCTGAACTACTTGTCTTCTGTCTACTAATGTTCGAATGGGAATTTTTCAAGAATAATGTTTACTCACATCAAATTATAACAGATAGATAACAGCTTATGGTTATAATGTTTTAATGGCGTAAAGATGTCATCATTAAACACTAACTAGGTTGAATGCAATCAGTGGACAGGAAAACAGTTGAAATGAAGTCCCCGAAATCCTCTGAATATAAACGGAATGATATATAAAAATTGGACGTCAAATCAGAACAAATATTTACGTATGCTTAGGCGAATACTTCTTTTAGCTTATACTTTAAAAGGGCTGAGTTTCAACAGAAAAGCAAACATTTTCATACCACATGAAATAATAAAACATGAAGCAAATATTAAATCCTTGCACGGAGAATTGACCGGTGATTAATTTCCTTTAAGAGGATAGAATACGAATTCCGCAGTTCCACATCAGGCTTCACAATTGCATAACACAAATGTTTAGCACAATTATTAGATACAAATATTATTAATAGGATTATTATCAATTAATCTGTATATGTGAACTTTAATTCCACTAACAAAATTGATATAAAACGTCTATGCTTAATAATTTTCATATGTAATTCTAAAGCCTGATGAAAAATTACCAAAAATGCGTATTCGCTTTAAAGTGTGTCCTATAATAATCATAATGAAAATATTGAAATTAATTTCTTACAGCAGTATATGTTACAGCTCGGTTAATTACAATATGAATAAGTAATTATGCTACACGAAAGTACTAATACACAAGCACTTACCTTACCATCACGTTCATCTTTTGTTACATCAAAGTTGGCTATAGCTTTAAGCTTATAAGGCATTCATAAATTCTATAAGAGGAAAACAGTGAAATTTTCTGCATGTTGAACGATATATGTGTAAGTCTTCCTTGTAAACAAAAGTCTAGTATGAAATATGAATATATTTAGATATATATATGTACATCTGTAGGAATATAGGCGGGAAAATAATGATATAAACAAACACCGATCTATTTGTTTTTTTATTTTATTTTTGACTACAGCTTGATTCCACACCGTATTTTTGGTACAAGTACGGAATTTTCAGCATGGATATCGGTAGCCCAAATTTTGCAGGCTTACCATTGATATCAAGTGTGCGTCGGTAGGGGATCGAAACTCAGACCATGTGCATGATCAGCGAGAGTTCTAACAACTGTGCTAACTTGTTGTTACACTACCGTCTGCAGAATCATTTCCTGACGGCTGACGGCATTCACGTGACACAGGACTGGTTGGAGAAGCAACCTAAAAAATTCAACAAGAAAAACAAAATGCTTATTTAAGTAGTTCAGAACTAATTTTTGCGACAACCAGCTTGTGATTTCTTCCTCTCAATGTACAATTCAATAAAAATCACATAATACTCTACTTCCCTAATCAATGTTATTCAGATGAAGTCAATTACAAAACAATCAGCCAACATATGCTGCCAAAACATCAATTATATTGTCATGTAAAGCAGTACAATTTAAACAGATACTGAAGATGCCATAATTGTATAGCAAGACAGGAACTGGATTAACGAAGTATACTTTTACAGGTTTTGCAGTACTGCTTTCATTAAAACTGTTCACACCGTCGCACGGACCACATAATGTTGAAAAGCATGTCCCCATATACACTACCAGGATAATTTAATGATGAACCAAGTAAATCTAACTCCTGCCTACAACTCCAATCAATAGAAGTATCCAGAATGAATGACAAATCCGATAAAATAACACAAAACCTAACGATAAAATTAACTTTAAACAGGCAATTCGACGTAGAGAAGATAAGAGAAACTGTCAATTACCTCAATATGCTATTGCGATTCGCCATCGCCTTGATTTGCACAGTCACTTTCCTACATATAACAAACAATATGATAACACACAGATGAAGAATTTAATCGGTAACTCTTAGCCTGACTTAATCAATAATGAAAGTAATTCTGCAATAAAGGGAAAAACCGAAGCCTCACACTAATTAGTGAGAAATGACTGATTGTCCAAGAGCCTTATCTACAATCTTTCACTGACTACTGATTTACCGTTAAATTGTCAAAAATAAAATTACCTGGGTTACATTTTTCTGAGTAAAGGGTAAGCAATTTACTACAGAAAAGTCATCATTAACTCGAAGAAGAATCGCGTGAATAATTCTACAGAACATGAGCAGTCCAATTACCATGTCAGTCTAAATTAGTTTAGTTACCTCTTACATTGAATAACCAGCTTCTAATATCAGAATCAGTAGTCTCATCAGGCTATCACAAATTTATACGGATATTCAGGTGACGAGATTACAGTGAATTTATGTCTAACCATAGATAGATTTTCATCAACACACTTAGGATCAGGTGGCTATATTAGTTACCACTCAACGATCATTTAAGACTTGTGGTAATTGATATGTAGTCAAACAAAGACAAATCACATGTTACATGATTACGGTGAGATGGAGATCAAAGTCAGTCTCGCTTACAGTCTCTCACGCATACACCACTGGTCATACATATATATACATATACCATTGTCTTCTTTGGTACTCTTGCTTCTTATACGGATACTGTTAAATATACTTTCCATCTCACATCACTGTGTACTCGTTTAAGTACAGTGGACTGACGGATAAGGGTGTTAGCGTAGTCAAGCTGTATTCGCGATCAGTGCGTCTAAGTCCGGCATCGGAGTTCCTACTCTTTCAATTCTAGTGCTATTGCGCAATACAGTCGCTACATTCATGACAGCAATATAACGAAAAATATCAATTAGCAAATTTCTTCATTACCTCAGGAGTAGGACGTTCAAGTTGTTTGACATCTGGAACAGTGCACTGCTTGCTGCCGCTTGATTCATCTTCCCTAAGGACAACTGAGGCAGAATGAGAAGGACTAGCGTCTTCTGAACTCGGCGTCTGATGTACTATTGTTCCAGGTGACGTTTTGAGATATGAGGTGATATCAGGAAGACTTGGGAAGCCTGGAATGTTTTCAGCCATGATTGACCAGGGAAGTTGAAGCTGTCAAATATCCGAAATAGAATTCTGTCAAAAATCTACTTAATTAACGAAATGACGAGTGAAATCAATCGAAATCAGTCGATCACGAAAGCTGACCGACAATCAGCAAAGTGTATTCGTAAAAATAAGTCTCACTATTGAACCGTATCAATTCCAGGGTGAAAATTATGTTGAACTAATTAGAGACCACTCATGTCATCACGAAAAGTGGTGATCATTGTGTTCCACATTTTGCTTGCTCTCTTGGTGGTTATTTAGTGTTAAAAAGACCACTTACTATGGTCTGAATATTTCAAGTTCCCAAAGGAAGTCGTAGACAATTTTTACTCCTAACAATAATGAACTCCACAGGAAACATTTACACTCAATGCAAAACGAGGAAACGATAAACAACATTCTAGTAATTTTGAAATGATCGGTTTGTGAAGAGAATGGTGTTTTCGAAAATCTTATGCCTAGTTAATTGTCAATGCGTGTTATATATTGGGACTCTAAATCTGCACTTCTTAAGTTGGAAAATTTGGTGCATTTGAGATTTACTGATTCATAGTGTCAACATGAATTTACAGTAAAACAATTGAAGGGCCATTACTATAGTTCAAGAACAAACCATGTGAAAATTTAAATGAATATCAATTGAGAACATAATACAATGCACAAAAACAAAGCTTTAGACAGTATTGGATAGGCATATGAAACTATCCTGACGAAGCCTAATCTATTACTTCCCTATACTTTTCGCATTCGCAACATTTTACAATGAATAACAATTTAGTAATTTGTCTTTGTTGAATTACGGATAAATTCGCAACTTACTTCACTAATCACATCATGGTACATTTCCCCAGCCATTCGATGAACTTCATGGTTTCGGCTGTTGTATATTCTTGCATTCACAAACATCAACAAAAGATCTCGTATGAAACGTGTTGCAACATCTATAATAACTTGACTACACGAAACAGGTGAATTTGAAGCTGTACACGGTTGAGCACCAATCAAACAACTGAGTGATAACTCCATGCGGCGCCGAATAGAAGTTAAGTCCACTGGTTCATAAACAACCGTACTATATCCTGGAGCGATATCTTCAGTTACAGGATGCATGAACACATAAGCATGACGATGACTGCATACTGTGGAGAGTGCTGATAATAGAGATCGGCGCCACCGACGGACAATAGTATGTGTCGACTGGATTGTATCTGTACATTCTTCGTTAGCCAAGTTAGTTGATACTGCTGGACTGAGAGCTACATGATTTGTAGTAAGGAAGTGAATGTTCATGGTAAACAATGGGGAAAATAAGAGGCTAGCAAAAACGAATAATAATAAAAACCCATAATCTTCCCAAGTTATTGTGAGTAAAACGAAGAGCGAGTACGTTATTTTGCTATACACTACTACTGTAAGATACACCTAACATATATGCTTACGCCAATGAGCCAAATCTCCACAAATGAAGAGGTGAATGCCACATTTCGTCTTTAGATGGTTGTGAACTGGTGCTAACGTGCACAATAGTTTTAAGGTTACACCCACAACAAACTACGTAAAACATGTATTTCCACAGATTTCTGTATGTGGAGACTTCAAGGAGACAATATTGATCATGTAGAGGCCTTAACTCTCTCCTGGTGAATTGTTACTGGAAGAAAATATTTAAGATTTTAACACTAAGTGGACAAAATATAGTCGTCCCACTTTCATATCTATCCTAATTCCCTTAGTACTTTTTGATTTTCTTTTCAATATGTGATTTCACAGTTGACAAATGAAACTCATGCATTTGTGTGTTCACTTATTTATAAAAACGACTAGATCACCAAACCACGATTCACATTTCAGTTAGAAGTTCTGGGTGAGTAAACGTAAAAAGATAAAACTATCGATAGAACCAATGACTTTCAAACACAAAAACGAAGCTCGAGCACAGTTAAACAGAATTTCTTCAAGGTATGAAACATTCCCATACCATGTGTTTAAAAATACACGAGTCAGCAAAGAGACCTCTTCTCGTAACTCCACTTCAAAGCTATACAGTTATTTACGAGGTTCATACATGCAATGTTAATTGACAGCAGAGATCAGAGGTTATTGTCAGTTGGTGACAAAGTAAATCAGTGTATGAGTAATAACAATGCATGAAGAAATTGAGAATAGTCTCGCGTAGTCAAGAGGGTTGACAACTAATTACTTAAATGATGAATAACCGTTTGGAGACAATTGGTAAGAAACAGGAGAACAAAGGATTGAAAATGGGTTGCAAAACATAAAAGTAATAGAAGTACTACATAGAGTTTATTACACAGCTACTCAGGAAAACGAAAACAAAAGTTTGCACTGGGGGCACGTAATAAGAGAGGTTGCATAAAACCTTTCTGAACACAGAGTTCACGCTCTTGTTAACCGAAATATCAAAGACAAGATCCCACTGTTGGCAACTTCAATACGCATTTACCGATTCACTTGCTACTGTGGAGCTAAGCAGACAGGTCATACCAGCAGGACATTGTCCAAAGGCGCTCATGAACATTACCAGCATGGCTGCCAAGAGGACAACGCAGAATAGTCTGCAGCTCAATTCCCAAGCACATTATAACTTTTGGTCACACAGCATCAGCAAAGACTTCTTTCAGTCATATATATATATATATATATACTACCTCAGAGTCATTCAAAAGGATTTCGTCTACATCTTCATGCAGACGAAGCGTTAGCAATCCATAAGGAGAAACCTAAACGGTGTTTAGAAAGGCCTCATCCAGCCGCTTTTACTACTGAGGAGTTTCGAAAAGAGATCTCTTTGCTGACTTGTGTATTCTTAAACACATGATACAGGAACTTTTCATACCTTGAAAGTCGTCCATTAGAAAAAGTATCAGCTTCCAACATGGTCAATGTGTCCTCCCGAAAAGTCACAGATTTGGGTACTGTTGCAGTGAGTAATTAACCAGCTCCTGTCTACTTATCAGAGTTAAATGCTGGATGAAAAAGTAAAAATTTTCGCTGAATAAATCAGCACTTAACGAAGACAATGCATAGATGCTGATGATAGATGTCATTTATGACAAATACAAATAAAGTTGTCAGCACAAAATGAAAAGTGCTGTCTTATTTAGGAAAGCTCTTCAGTTAAAACTGATTATACTCTATGAAATCCGAAATGCAAGAGGAAATAAGCTTTATAACCGAAAATAAGATAAGACAATACCTGAAGTGAATTCTGGTTCTTGATTTTGATACGCCATTGGAGCAGTAGTAGTAGAAGCACTTGGAGGTAGGTCTTTCCGTTTTGCTGAACGCTTTCGGTTACGATTGGCACTTCTCGAATATGGGGACTGTACTTCGATGTTGCTTAGTGAAGGACTTGAATTAAGACTTTGAGTAAAATGTGGAGAAGCCAGTGTCTCGGAATCACTTACTATTGTCGGACTATTAGGTGTGATTGGTTCAGCGTGGACCTCTAAACACTTGGAGGGACCTCCTTGTAATTCAGTTTCACTAGAACCATGGTCGAAATGTGTGAGAGGTTCACACGGTCGTGGTGGATCTTCGGTTCTGACTTCTTGACTATGAATACTTGCAGCCTAAGGTGGAAGATATGGAAAGGAAAGTGGAGCAATAGAAAGTATCATTGGGAACATCAGCTAATTACCACAGCAGCAAAATCGTCTACTAAAAGTTCTATGCACAAATATTCCACTTACCACAAAGGCTTACGAGCTCAAACCTTGGACTTCTGAAATAAACAATTCCTAGCACTTGAATGCTTGCACTCACTGAATAGTCACTGATCACTTATAGTGGTTTCACAAAATCAATTTGCAGAAAATCTAGGCTCAGGAGCTGAGAATACCTTCCAAGAAACCTTTAGTTTTTCAATGTGTTTCCCGATAAACTTATCACCTGTAAACCAAATAACAGGAGTAGAATTTTTTACTCTTGATAAGCAGTGAAATTAGTGGAGAATGTTATGTGGTACAGGGTCAGGTTAAACTGTCTTAGTGGATGTACTACCAAAAAAGCATCATCACATGTTTATAAAGAAACAAAAACAAAATAAACATACTTCTGAATGAGTTTGAACCGATGATGTTGTATCCAGACTTGATATCTCCTCATTCCGTCCTTCAAAACCAAGTCGTTGGGAAATGACACCTGGAAAGATTGAAAGTTATTTCATTTTCAAACAATTCACTAACTTTGTTCACGAAAATATTAAGACATCATTATTTTGAACATAAGTCATGTGAATTAGTGACTGAATTATCATTGCAGAATTTCATGCCAATTGAGTCTGAGCTTCATAGGGGAAATCATTATATTTATGGTTGCAGATACGCCTTGCTGATAAGTGCTAATAATAACACTTAGGCTTTTGTGCAAGGCTGTTCAGAAAACTACATTTTTTCACCATTTTTACCTAAATGAACTATATCATCCACGTATTCTTGAGCAACGAGACTTCTTTCATGTGGCAAATCAATCCTTTTAACATCGAGGTTGACCATGGACACATTCATTAGTAGTACCTACATAATGAAACTGAAAGAAAATAGTAGCAATGGCCATCCCATAAGAATACCACTGCCGGTCTTCACTTCAGATAACAGCTTTCCATAAGCCCTTACACGACTGTATGACTTTGAGTAAAGCCTTGATTAGTACAACATACTCTCAGTAATCCCTTCACGGTAATATTTCGCCACACCATCTCTCGATCGACGCAGTTAACACCACCTCCACACCAGGAAAGATGCTAAACATTTGACACCGATAATTTTGTTTATGCTACACAACCTCCCGAACGTTAAATATATAATGAACATACCTTCATCTTAGTTTAAAGTCTACCAGGTTTTCTTGAGTTTGTTTTTCCTGAGACCTACTTAGTTTTCGTGGAATCATGGAATCTACAATCTCAGTAGAGTTGACTGCCCTGAGATCATCACAGGAACAGCTGTGCTTTTTCTCATCAACTAGGATGATCAAAATAGAAATAGATAATGCACTTATTGATCTAGTTGGTAATTTATCATTGACACCCTTGAGACAGATGGAGTGATACCACTATGTCCTGCAGTTTCACCACGTATCAGGTTAGAGAGACTGCCACTTCAGCTAAATTTGGAGGGCCCACACATTTCATCCAAGCTGAAACATGGTAGCTAAAGATCAGATACGCTGCTACAGCAAGCATACTGCTGGTCTATTCTTAGATTATCAAATTTTTATCCTGATGCTTTTTAGAAACCGTCCCCCTATTCAGCCTAATCAATTCATGAGCATTACGCACCACTACGCTTTTCCTACTTCTCACCACACAGTCGTTGTCAAGACTTTTTGTCATCTTGCGTGTGAATTAGTATGACAAAAGTATGGTTGAAAAACAACTTTGAAGGTTCCAATCATAAAACCCAGCTTTCTCGTACAATTTTATTATTTTAATGCTATAACTTCCATAAGATAAATTAGATTATGTGCAGCTCTATCATAGGTGCGTACTACTGAGTTTTGTTACCACCCGAAAAGCCCTCTCTTCCATGTTATTCCTGATTAGCAGGTCAAAAAAAACATGTAGAACCCCGATTGCCCTATTCGACGGATGACTACACAAATCTGAGTCTTGCACGATCTCGACTTTCAGTCCAGAAAATCACACGAAGAAACAACAATACATTATAAGTCGTACATATATCAATCAATGTCCAGTGTAAGAGGGGATATCTTATTCTAAACTCTCCAAAAATCCCAAAACTGTGATGCATAGGGGTAGGAGCAACGGCCAGGCATATCTTTTACTACCAAATCCGTCATATGAGAAAATTCCAGTAATAAATTATCTGCGAAGAACACGCCATTTAAACACTGTTTCATTTCCGTGCTATCGAAGATGCTATGTAGTTTGTATTTAATTCTGGTTCACATGAACTAGACCTCAAGGCTCGAATTATGAATATGCGTATGAACAAAATTGAATTTGATGGTCAGACTTACTTTGTTCTCGCATAAATTTCGCAATGTGATCATGGTGGTCATCTAATGGGTTTTCCTCAAACAAGTGGGAAATACGCGTCGACCTTACAGGAAGCCAAATACCACCATCTTTGTCCACCAATTCTTTTGCAATTTCTGTTTTTGGACGTTTAGGTGACGTAGGAAACACCTCGGATACCTTATTGTCCTTCTCAGGAGCAGGAGAAAGAGGTTCCAGATTCAGGCATTGACCTATTTTATCAGGTATCCCGGACTCACGACATCTCTTTCTATAACTGCGACAATATAGAGTATAGCATCACATACATCATGAGTCGGTCCGAGGGAATTTCGGAGTACCCGGCCTGTCGCAACTTCTCCGCATCTTCTTCTGCAATCCTACAAGTAAACAGTGAAGTGACCTTCTTACTTTAAAGTTCTTAAAATTTCTAACCTAACAGCATGTAGCTGCTCACGCCGCAATGTGGTATAGTGATCAAGCGAAATAGTCAGCAGCTGATTCTCGGTGAGGTCACCAGGGTTTCTGCAAAAACCTGTTAAATGATAGATGTAACTACTTTTGACGGGTGGAGGCTATGATGTAGTTGTATTGTAGTGAACAACTCTAACACTAAATAACGCCCAAAAGTTGTGTCTGATTACCTGTTTCGAGAGGCCCTGTAGATTTTCCTTCTTCAGAAACGTTTTAGAAAGAGCTTTCAAGGAGCTGCAAACAATATCCCAGTCTTTTCCGTGTGTTTGAACAGCTCGTAGTAAATAATAATTAGCTCCGACTGCCCAATCCATTGATAGTACCCAAAACAGCCTTTACCATAAACGACCCTGAGGTTTGAGAATTTGGTGCTCGAACCAACTTACTGCTAAGAAGCTGATAAAAACAAAATGCATTTACATGCAACGGATTCGTAGTTATGATGAATAGTTCCTAAATGAAATGCAGGTGAGTTAACCCATAGATACCAACAGATAGGAGGAACTCATTTATTTAGCCATGAAACTGAATGAAAGGTGTCTATCCCATACAGTGCTATATTCTCTTATTCAGATTCATGACCACTGTTTCGAACACCGTTTGTCAGTGGCAATGTCACGTCTATGTATATGCAGACCACCTTTAAGATTTCTTTTAGATATCATATACAAGGAGAAGGGGGCGTTCTTCCATGGTAAGTAGGTACCGTGGAAAATTCACTGAAAGATTCTAAACCCATCCAAAGATGATTTCCATGTGACCAAGGAGTAGAATAACCATAAAATTTTACAGGAGTCTAAAAGGCTCCACAGTACATCCGCTTTGACTTAGGAGACCAATGTGTCATTCGCATTTAAAAACAGTATATTTTGTATACCTCTGAAATGTTTAATGCAATAGGTGCGTGGCACTGGGGTCCTTTACGGACCTCAATATCCACAGTGCAGACGCATGCTATTATTCTAAAATCAGGACGCAGATTGCTGAAATGTGGGAATCCCAAATCATTGCATGTTGAAGAGCCTTGATCGGTGGCTCCCCAGTTAGATAGGCTGGTATGTACCACACTGTTCGAGACAATAGCGTTTCATCAATAGGACAAATATACTAACAAGATATCGTGAAAATGGGAAAATATGGGCTTAAATTTTGAACTTACTGCCCTCTTTATCGACTATATTGCGCACATGTCAGTACCAAGTGGCATTTTCTAACACACGTCCGGAGAAACTTACGCAATTCAAGTGCGTTGGGCCGCCAACATTATACACGCCATGAAGTTCTTAATGCAAGATTTCATTTAAAAACCACTTAAAAGGTAATTTGTCAGTGAGTCAATGTAACAACGGACTACGACGCTACGACTAACTGGGGTTTGCTACAGAGCCACTCATTAAACTAATACTTTCCAAACCTGAGCAAGGTTTGAGTCGAACGTCATTTTCCCAGTTTTCCCTCAGAGCTATCGATCCCTACCTAGGAAAACAATCGTGATCTTATTTACCTTGAGAATTATTTGAATGGGATCGATGCTAAAATTATTTCCATTTCTTCTTCTATACTTCGTTGTGATACTATTCACGAAGATACTTCTGAAACCCTACCGAATTCGATCCGTGTGTGACGCCTCATGCCATCTTTCTTTCTAGTAAACGGATCATGTCCTCCTGTAACACACACAATATCTCCAACCTCGTTCCACGAAACCGACTAGACCTCTTATGTCTTCAAGCATGTGGTATTCCTTCTGTTGATTGTCAGCTAAGCAGGATTCAAAAACACCCTGTATATACATGTGTCTCGTGCGATTCAACAAAGGAGTTTTGGCGATATGAGGAAGTTTCAAAACTTGTAGTACTTTTGAGGCCGAAAGTATCGACGTTCGCGAACTGTACGGAGTATACTAACGCAAGATCTTATACCAACAACTTCTATAGTGTCCGCTCTTCGAGTACCAAAGATAAAGCAAAAGACCAGATTTAGTTGTCCAAAGTACGTAATATATTTCGGGACCAAATCGCGGGTTGAAGTGAATGCTTAGCTAGCTAGTAATCGTGCACGCACGTGACACGACGGAGTACCACATGGCGGGGATGCTTGACTGGAAGCCTTCAGCTAAACAAGTCGACTTAAACAGTGAGGGTCAGCATCCAATGTTGAGTGATGATTGCTGTGGTCAATAATTTTGGGGAATTATTTACCGCTACAGTGCCATGGGAGTTGCGCGTTGGCTAACGCCTTGTTGATGAATTAGCCATACATCATCATCCACCATCCAAAAGCATGCCTAGCTTCAGGACCTCCCATAAAATTTTGCAGTCACTTGACTGCTGGTGAACAGTTGCGAGCAGATTTACATGAGATTGAGGTACATAAACCCCGTTTGAATAAAGTGAGCGGAGAAGCAGCTTCAGTAATTTACTTAGATGTGTTACTTGCAAAAGCACTACTACAGCAACCTGTCAACCTAGACCAAAACCGTTAAACTGCTAAATATATTTGTGTAGCGAACCAGTCAAAGTGCGTGAGTGACTTCGAACTCGTTCCCGATCGGCTTCAAATAGAAATAATGTTCACAACTGTTGTGTGGCCACATATCCTGCTATGCCTGGACTTTGGCCACACCGCCAGCTGACCCTTTAGTCTCGCTCACCTAACCTAGTTCTCAGGCTGCTCTTAACACTGCCCCAACTAGACAGGGGAAAACATCACCCTCAAGGCTTTTCGGGGATGCATTTGCTAGCAATTGTGTGGGGGAAGTACAGAGATATACAGTCACACCATGCGCTCTTGTTCCTTGAAAACCCAATTGTTTGCACTCCGATCCAGTCAGAACAGACAAGCGAGTTGACCAGTGGAAGCGAAATGGCTGGGATTCAGATGCTTGGACGAAATTCTTTGTTCCCCCATACTGAAGAGGCTGATCTTAATTCTGTTCCAGCCAGTAAAATATCTTTATCCCTGACACACAGAATGTCCCCATATCGACCTTACTCTTCCATAGAAATTTTCAGCCATTCTGGCGCTTAAAAGTTGACTTTTGGAAGCACGGTAGTAGGCAGCTGTATCGGGTAAACCTAGCAAAACTCATGGAAAGATATTCATCATCCAATATCCTTCGGTATATAAAGAGGGCCTTACCAATCGTAAATAAGATATAGTTCCTACTTGGTTACTCATTCCCCCGAATACCTGGATCACTCACTACATCTGAGTGACCATAGAGTCCTGTGTTTTAGAGACTCTACAACTGCACTTCTTGTGCAACTCATCCCTTGTAATAATTGCTGAAGCATGGTGACTACTGCCTATTTAAGAGTGACAGATATCATGACATATGTGGAGAATGTGTCATTCACATCCCGTCTGTTAATAATGGCTACATAATGTTTTTAATCGGAATTCGTCAAAGTAAACAACTCAGTAGAGACTGCCGTGAGAAGCTCTCATTCCACCTCCTATCTCACGGGTTACATTTGTCTATTGAAAGCGATATGAAGTTGGCAGAATTGTTCTCCTATGCTGCCTTATTGGTTTAAAAAGCCAGAATAGTGTGCGGAATTCAACATTCGTGAAGTAATTTTGCACGGATTATGCTTACGAAAACGTTATGAAAAATTTAGTAATACCCTAAGGGGAAAAGACTAATAATAACACACAAAATGTCCTACTGTGTAATCGAATGTCTTCGCCAGATGTCAGTGGTAGTGGACATTGAGTGGACGTTAAATGGACTCGAAACCCAGCCTTAGCCACCACCAGCCGTACGTCGAGGGACGCAGTAATTTTTTAGGAGTCTTGATTCATTGGTAAGACCCATGCCGCTCAGGACTACTTCATCACGCAGCAACCTTTCCTGTCTTCTCTTTTCTAAGGTACTGCATTGAAGCACTGTGTATGTAGAGTAATGCTGCTTTCTATGTTTGTATTACTTGTACGGAGTTTTGAAGTCACTAGAACCTACATTCGGCAGATATTCAGATTATGATAAATATGATAAATAACGGAACAACATCCATCATGAAATCTTGTCGTATTGGCAAAGTTGGTCCATAAATCTGCTAATTTCAAAATAATGGTGTACTCACCGGCTACTGTAGAATCTTATAAATTTTTGAACCCTTTATAACTGAACTACTGATAACCATTTTAAGTTCTGCATTCTATGTGTCTTGGTCTAGCACCTCTGTATCATATTCCGTCTTACCCTCCAGTTACACCTTTTGTAATTCCCGCGTGAAATTGACAGACTATATGTATAATAAAGATTAAAAATTAGACTTAAACCAATATCTTATAACTCATTCGATCAAAACTAAACATTAGAAGTCGCTTATATAGTTTTTCGAATATTTTCCTTTTCACATCATTTATTTCATAAAACAGTGTTTAATTCTTAAGTTGTACTTTTCAAATATGATCCTGTCTGTACAGATGGTGTGCCAACCATGTTAATGCTTATATTATGTGGACAAGAATATTATTATATTATTGTATGAACACCCAGTCCGGCCCTCTTTTCACCCACAAACCTTGCCGATGCTGACGCGCATACAGAATTAGGTCATAATGATATTTTAAGCCAGTTTGTAATTTACTGTGACTTACGATATTACTAATCAATGCGTATTCTGTAATCAATAAGGTATCTGAACTGAGAACGTTATTATTAGCCACCAGGCCGACTGTAGAAAAACGATAACTTTATCATAATGCACGCCTATACTTGATATGTCTTTAGGTCATAGACGGTTGCACCCTACATTTTGCAAATACAGATTATAAGTGTGGTGGAGGGTGCCTAGTTAACACATATAACTCATTTGCAGTCGGTAAGGTGGAAGGGGGTACACTGAATGCGTTAACTGATTCACTCTGAGTCATCTTACGTGGAAATGAATACAGGCTTCTCGTAGGTTGTGTCTATCAAGCACCATGCCCAACCTACGAAACTGATAAATTGGCAGGCAAATTCTTTTCATATTACTCCTCGTTTAGTACTGAAACCAAATAATTGTAGGGGACTTTAATCTTTAGGAAGTCAACCGGTTAATAGCTTCGGCCCCCAACGATTCGACGAAACGATACGTCAAGGCACCCAACAGATGGGTCCGGAGGCAAATGTCCGCAATTATAGATCTTCAAATATAGCATCAGTTATCTAAGGAATCATTGAGAAATTTGTTCAAGACCAACCATCGGATTATGTGCTTGAGGAAGATCCTGGTACAAAATCTCAAAATGGACTTCTCGAAAATAGGTCCTGCATTACTTTTTACTCCGACTTTCTCAACTGTATCACTAGTAGTCGCGA